TACAAAATGTCTCTCAAGGCATCTCTGATTAAGATATTCAGTTATTGAAACCTGCACCACTGCATCACCTAAAATGAATGCTTAAATTTATAGAAGCATGTAATATTTTTCCAGAGTCCCACATAAGGAAACAAATGTCCATGGGATTCTGCCAATGAAGGAATTTGTTTGTGGGTTTAGGCAAGAAGCAGGATTCAGTTGGCCATGCCAGTCACAATATATATTTTTTTCGAGACCCTTTTGCTGGTAACATGGCTGATCTGCAGTCTAGCAACACTGACTCCATCTCTCATGCTCTATTTATAGAGCTGCAGCTAGAAGTACCACAGGACTGCAATTCTGAACAAAATCACAGTCGCTGCTAAAGCTCCTTCAGACCGCTGAGCCTCGCGCTAAATTGATGTAGTACAAAAACTTCTTTTTAGAATGACAGAAATTGGCTGTGCCTGTTACCACACTTGTAGATGACATATAAACTTCCCCATAGAGCTGCATGCAGGAAAACAAACTAGAAATAGGAAATCCTTGCTCAGTAAGTTACCCAAGCTTCCATTTTTGTAAGTGTTACTTTTGAAGTTTTCCAGTGAGGTTGCATGAGTTTGTTTTGTTTAGTAAAACATTGTTGTGGCAATTAGAAAATCTTTTATAACATATAGTTGTATCAAAAAGTTATGCAAACTGAAAATAATGCAGATTAATACATTTACAGTTTATCATGGTTATACTTACAATTTATTACACTGGTCCAGGTGGAGTGCTAGTTTATGGAATGGAGATGGCTTGAAAATGGGGCAGTTCCACCTGTAACAGGTAAAAGTATTATTAGTTCTTTTTGAGCAAAAGTGGTGGCATTTGCAATGCCAGACAAGATGCATATTTAGACTGCCTCTGACCCAAGAAGCTTACAATTAGAGATTATCAAAACTAAGAAAGTAAAGGATTTTGTGGTTAGGCTTTGCTTTACTTTCTAGATATTCTCTTTTCCGTTTAGGTCTGAAGCACTGAAGGGTTATCTGGGGAGACTGCAGCTGTGACCACCAGTAAAGTTGAACACTGAGGAGGGACCTGAACATGAAGAGGGACTAGTGTCTGGTTGGGTTACCAGACCATAATCAGGGGGACTGTCGAAATAGAGGGGCAGAAAAGCGTAAGATGCAGAGATAGGAACTGAAAAGCACCCCCAGATAATCATTAGAGACAGACTCTTTCCTCAGAGTTCAGAATTTTGCACATGACTGGCAAGTTCCTTTGCTGCAGAACAGCTTTTTTTTTTTAACCTAGTTGTCCTTTTTTTATATGCATAGATAAGTGACAGATGCTGTAGAAACATTATAGCTTGCTTTGAAATCTTCCAGTGTTTAAACCTGGATATTAGCTTCCATGGTCCGTAAAAGGCAAAAGATGCATTCATATTAGTCTTTTAGTTTGTTTGAGGAGCATGCTCTTGAGCTGTACCTCCTTAACCTCCCCATTTACTGCACTTTGGTTCACATTGCTGAGCAGTCTCAGAGCGCTTGAGCTGGATTGCTTTTACGCAACACTAAACCAGAGGATGTGTTCCAGGGGCACTCAGATACCGGATTAGATTAAATCCAAGGTAAAACTCCTACAACAAAAGACCTACAACAAGGCCATCGGGTCTTCAGCACCAGTTTTTTTTTTATGCTCCATAGTTCTGCTCATCTTACACTGTACTAATTACTAACACAAGCAGAGATGCCTGCTCTTCCTATCCAGGGCTTCTTTCCAGCAGTGCACTACTGAAAAACTTGTTTTTCCGTTCAGAGGAGAGCTTAGCTATACTGAACAGTGCTTTTATGTGAAGTAATCCTCTATTTTCTTCTCCTCTGATGAATTAAGTTTGGTTCCTCCCCCCCCCGCTTTTTTTTAAATAAAGGAGATTTTTTTCACTCGCTGCAGTATCATTCAGAGAAGCGGTGGTACAGTGGCAAGCAGCCTACCTTTATGAGGATTAAGTCTAGAACGATGCTAACAAACATTCAGTCACTCGTTGCTAATGGTAGCGTTAATTTCTTAAGCTAACATGACCAAGATGAAATACAGATAAGGCACATGCTCCTGTGCAAGTAGTGACAATAAGGTTCTGAAGGACTCAGCTTAACAGCTTGTGTCAGGTGATGAGGTTAATGGAAAAGAATTTGTTATTCAGGTCACTTAATGAAAATAACCTTCAAAGAGTTTAGCGGAGCCCTTGAGGTAGAATAATTTATTCCTCTTCTGCTTCCATCACTGTAAGTTAACCCAAGACATAGAAGCAGCTGATCTAAACATGAACTCGACCTGTCAGAGAAGTTCAGGAGGAACATCAGCAATTACAATGCATTGTTGTAATCTCTCTTGCCCCTCCAGTGATAACACATAGAGGACAGCCTTCAGAGCAAAGGCTTGCTTTGCATAGCCCCATCTTTAGAACAAGACTGGTTGTTAAGATGCAGGTTATCAAAACACTGTGCAAGAAGGTAACAAAAATATTCACCACAAGACATAAAATTTTTAGCCAATGCATGGTCTATAGATCAGCCAGGCATAGAAAAGAGGGAGGCCGCAGCAGCCATCATTCCCACTACTCCTCTTCTGTGTTTTGGTGGTTTGTTTTGCTGCTTGGCTATGATCAGAAATAAGCTTCAGCTCCTGTGATTTGAGGCCTTACGCTGATCTGCTCCCAGACCCTGGGGAGCCTCTATGTCTCCGCACCACTGTTTCCCTTCTTATCCCTTAATTAAAAGGGCTGCAAGCTGCCCAGGAAATGTGCAGCTGCCTAAGCCCTAACAAAGCAGCGCTCCATTTTTGAGGTGAGGGCTTGCGATACAAGCCAGAATAAGGGATGAAAGATCCCTTTATAGATACCCCCGATTTGATCCCAAACCTCAGGACAACCATTTTGAGAGCCCTAGATCCAGATTTAGAAAACCTCAGGAGCAGACAAGATTAGCACCATCCCCACCTGTAACATTACTACCTTGTCTGCAAGTGCCCATTTCATATTCTGAGCAACATGAATACCTCATCTGTGTAAAGTTGAAAATCCTTTTCACAGCCATGGGTACAGTAACCTCCATATAGAAAAACAAGATTAAACTTGACAGTAATAGGAGTGATAGAGGGGGAAAGCATTCTTCCTTTGAGGCAGAGGCTCTGAACACAGCAGCCAGTGACTGACTGAAAAAGGAGGGGAAGAAAGATAAAGAAGCATCAGGGCTTAAAAAAATAAATGCTTCTAAGAGAAAGAAAAAAGAAAAGCCTGCACCTTTCTCTTGACATTTAACAAACTACCTAAACAAGCTAAGCAAAGGAAAAGGAAGAAAGTCAAAGACCTTACAGAGAGCTGCTTGTTACTAGATATCTTAAAATACTTTTATCCAACCTTGCTAAGAGACACCAAGCCCTCTGTGACCCCCAGCAAATCCTCACTACCATTCTCTCTTCTTCCCCCTGAGCCGTACTTACATAGGCTCCCTCCTGGCTGCCTCTGTAGGGACCAGCCTTGTTAGCAAAGCCTCCTTCCACCTGTGTGTCTGTAGGCTTCAGAGATTTAACTCCTCATGTGCCGCATCCAGGGTCGCAGACTTGTGTTATTCCCCCAAATACCTCTATCCACCCAGCGAGCCCTGCTCCAGTAACTGACCCTGCATCTCAGCGTGGTACCGACCCTTGGGAGAGTGCTGTGTGTTGCGAACAGGCTCTGTCCTGCTGTTGCAGCTGGGTTATGTAGGGGTTTATCAATCACCTACAGCCGGGTAGTCTTTAGCTCTTTAGTGCTGTAGAGGTGCTTAACTCCCTGGGAACTCAGATCCAGTGGTGAGAGGTTCACTGTCTCACAACCAGTCTCAAGTATATCCCGCAGAAGGATTTCTAACCAGTTACTTCATGCTACTTTATCGCTGCTTTACTTTTTGATTTTTACAGATTGAGTAATGTTTCCTGTCATTAGGACTCTTTGACAATAGTTTCTCTGAAACGCCTTTGACATTTGCAAGGGGAAACAGGCCTACTGTTCACCAAAACCAGCAATCACCCCTTGAGCAGCAGGATGACAACTGCCAGGGCAAGAGCGGTGGGCACACAAAGTACAGGATGCTTGGGTAATGATTAACACACAACAAAGGGAGCTGCCTGTGCTGCAAATGGAAACACACTGCGTGTTTGGGATGTAAGAGCATTTTGGTCTAATTTTGCACTCTGCATATAGTAATAAGACACAACAGGGTGTGCATTAAGCTCATCTTTTGAGAAGTGCAACAGTAGCTGAATAATGCACACCCCAGAGTGTCTTATTTGTAGTGGACTATGGCTCATTAATTTTACATTTAAATTTTTTCAGATCCATTAAAAAAAAAAACAACAAATCTATTCTGAGGGCAGTTATGTAATGTATCCTTCCACTGAAAAGTATTTTCAAATAA